TGTTTTGTGTGGTGTATTTTCCTAACGTTGATGGTGCATATTTGTTGAACTATTGGTGTTGCCGCACCGTAAGACACTGCCGCACCTGAACCCGCCTCTATATATATATATATATATATATATATATATATATATATATATATATATATATATAATAGTGATCATATGAGAACTACCCTCTCATGAGTCCATGAGAACCAATTTGGTGCATTGAAAAATTAGATATATGGATGAGATTAGTGGGGGGTTCAAAATTCACGTATACATATGTGGCATGTGTTGTGTGCATATCCTATGTTGCACATAACACATGCTTGATAGACACACACAAATTTTGAATCCCCCAATTGCCCACAACACATGTACACAACGCATGTTTAATATGCATACGTGATTTGAAACCTCAATTGCATACAACACATGCCCCATATGCACACTCACAAATTTTGGATCCCCCTATTGATGACATCCACAGATATGTTTTTTAAGGAACTCCTAGGTTAAAAATGAGATGAGATTTGAGCCGTTGATCTAATCTAGATCAACGGTCCAGAATGAAGAATTTTTTTTTTAAAAAAAATACGCTTCCTAGAGTTATCTTGATTTAGGCCATAAAGATTAAAATGTATGCAAGACTAAACTATATGTATCTTACGGTACAAACTTATGCATCTTACCGTGCAAAGATAACATTTTAAAGTTATGCACTCAAGTGTCTAAAATTATACACATTAAGATCTAAAGTTATGTACAAAATGAAGGAAAATAATACATCGAAAGAAAACTTGTTTACTAACACTTATTTTTCAAATTTATTTTTTCGATTAAAGTTATAAAATTAAAACAAGTTTAATTTCGAGAGATTTTTAGATCCTATATTTAAAATATTTTTTTACATATGTTTGGTTTAAATGGAATAAATTATTATTATTATTATTATTTTTTACTTTTAAGTCTAATATATGTAAGATTTTTACATTTGATAACTGAACAAAATTTATATCTGTATATAACATAATAACTAAAAAAAATATCCGAACCAATAACCTACTAAGTTCACCTAAAATTTAGTTTAGATAATATTAATTTTTTTTGAGCTAATATTTAAAATATATTTTTGGATATATTTATTTGAATGAGATGTATATGAATATATAACTTTTACTTTGAATTTTAATATATGTGGGATTTCAATATCTGATATCTGGACCGAATTTGTATTACGATGTAACATAATTAAAAATATTCAAAATAATAATCTATTGAGTTCAATCAAAATCTAAAACATTATATAGAGTTTAATTCTTAATTTTGATAATGTAACTAATGTCTAATTTTAAAATGTAAGCAAATAAGTTATGTTTAAATAAGTAAAGTAAGTAGAAAAGATAAAAGATAGTAATAAGTAAAGTAAGATGATAATGAATGTAATCATAGTAATGTGGTTATAGTGACATATAACTAAATAGGTGATAGATAATTCTGTTTTTCATTTAGAAAACAATTTTTAAGAGTATTCTAGTTTTCTAGAAATCTGAAAAATTATTTTCAATTTTCAAAATGGAAAACTGTGCTAGTAAACATGTTTTCTGTTTTCTATTTTCCAATTTTCAGAAATTTTTGAAAATTTTCAATTAGTAAACGGTCCCTAAATATTCACTAGAAGCTAAGATAAACCATGCACTTAAAGAAGAAATAATATGTACCAAAAGAAGAAATAATATGTATTTAAAGAAGAAAAATAACGCACCCAAAGAATAATGATAATGATGGTAGCTTAGGACTTGTCCACTGTTCATGAATTGGAATCCTTTTTCACTTCTCCTCTTGACTAATGGATGTGGGGTTTAATTTCTCCTCCTTTACTAAGTGTAACGTTAGTACTATTTATCGAACGTAGGTTCAAGTTCTCAAAGTCTTTTTTTATTTTATTTTATTTTATTTTTTTGTAGTGGTACATAAATCAAAGGCAGACAGCTATTATATATTGTCTTGATCACACTTTTAGCTCCAAGGGGAGTAAGAAATGACTTAAAGACTGTCAAAAAGTTGAAACCATCTCTATCGCCAGGGGACATAGATAGACACCCATTTTAAACAAATGGTTCATTCAATCTTTCATCAGATTTTTTTCTTAATAAAAAAAAAAAGTCAATTTAGGCTTAATTTTAATTTAATATTAATTAAAGTTAAATATCTCTATAATTTAAGTATGAACAACGTTACATTTCCTCGTAATTATACTTTTTAAGTAAAATTCATCTCTTTTATATGTAATACATGATTGGTTCTTTTTTAATGTGTGAAATTAGCCAATTTACGGATATCCAATTAATATACAAATTTGTATTACTATATCAAGAAGTAAACATTACGAGCTAAAATTAAGAGAAGAAAATTTCATTTTTCTTTAATTAAGTATTTAACCATTTTAATGTAAATTTAATTATTTATTAAAACTAAGGTTCAATCAACAGTGATATTATAATGGTTAAAGCTAGGGGCGGATCTAGAGGGGAGTGGGGGAATGGGGGTAGTTGCCCCCTCCCCCACACTCTCCCACCTCACCCCATTATATATATAGTAGAGGTTTAAATTTGAAGTAGATCATATATTATAATTATTCTTGAGGATGAAGAGGTGTTTGGCGCTCAAGGAGAGTTCTGAGCGATACCACGAACATCCTATAGAGTATCTGGGGTAACCCCTTCATTTAGACCTCTACCCCCTCCCCCCCCTACACACACACACAAAAAAAAATAATAATATTACACATAAAAGTACCAAAAAATTGAGTAGCTTAATTAGTTGGTTATACATATTTTACTATTTTGAGATATGCAAACATTTTAACTGCGCGTCATCGTATTCAAATTAATCTAGAAATACATAGAGTTTATATAATTTTAAAAAATATTTATAAATATTATATTAATTGAGATGATTTGCAATTTACTCTAGGGATAAAGTACAAATAAGCCACTGAACTATTTGGAAAACAGCAATTAAGCCATCGAACTCAAATAACCCTCAAATAAGCCATTGAACCCGGAAAAAAAGAGCAAATAAGCCATTGAATCCTGAAAAAAAAAGAGCAATTAACATTTTTTACAGGTTATCTCCAGGTTTTTGCTTATTGAATTGCCAAATATTTATTTTATTTATGTTTATTATTTACAGGTTATCTCCAGGTTTTTATTAATATTATCCACTTGGATAGTATTATATTTTAAAGTAATTATAATCAAAATAGTTTTGTCTTGTCGAGATTTGATTTATTTATTTATTATTATTTTTTCACTGAATCTTTTGTTTAAAAAATAATAATAAATAAACAAATTAGATCTAGACAAGACAAAACTACTTTGATTATAATTACTTTATGAATTTCTTTTTTAGTTTTCGTCCCTACTTAACAGTATTTCTGTATCTGCCCTTGATTTAAGCTATAAGTATGTGATAATAAATTGAAATGTAACTTTAAGATTGACGTATTACTCTTAGACATTTACCCTCCCATTAATTTTTATTTGTTTTTAAGGAAAACTATAATCGGCGTGGGGGACCACTTCGGCGCTTCCATTGCAATTTCGCCACTAGTAATATACTTCACTTTCTACTCCAATTTCTATTCCTTGTTCACTCATACTTACATGGCACACTTTAATTATTCAAAAAATGTGAGTCATAACTTTTATTACTTTTTTTTTTCTCCCTCCAATAAAATCAGGATACATGATATGAGTTTTATCCCCTCAAAATCCATTTATCATTCCTATCCTCAAATAAGAGAAAAAAAAATGTTTTTTAGGTGTATTCAGAAATTTTCACTGTCGAACACAATAATTAATTCTCTTGCTGAATTGTAAGCACTTCTATTTAGTGGGTCAGATGCCTGGATATTTAAGACTGATCCATACGCAAAGCCACAAATCAAACCCTTTGATGTTTGGTTCCTTTCCTCAAATAAGAGAAAAATTGTGATTAGGCAAGGAAGCGCTTCAAATAGCTCAACTCACTCCACCGCACTCTAAAAGGACTGTTTGGTTGGATGTAGTTGCAATTCAATACCAACATAATTCTTTGGCCATCCAAATTACCGTGTTTGGTTGCAGGGAATTGCAATTCCCTCATTTTCTTGAATTGCAATTGATACCCTCCTCCATATGAATTGCAATTCAATGGGGAAAAGAAAAGAGAAAAATGAAAAAAAAATTTTGTTTACCCTTAATTATTATTATTATACAAGGGCATTTTAATCTTTTTACCACTCCTTTCATTCTCATTCCCAATAATTCAATTCTTACCGAATAATGTAATTTGAACTCCTACTTTATTCCGATCCCACTTTATTTTTTTCACCGAATTACAATTCATTCCCCCATAATTCTTTTTTTTTTTTTTTTTTCCAACCAAACGCACGGTAAATCTAACCTCAAACTTCAGGGCATGAGATCTGCTCCCGAACATAAGCACAATCCACCAGGGAATTGAAAGCAGAGTCCAATAAACTGATGAAGGGGTACTTTGTACCATTGAACCTAGTGTTTAATTTAGTTTAACGGTAGTTCAGATCAGTCATTTTCCTAGAGTTTGAAAAGGTGGAAAATAGTGAAAGTGATAGGTACTAGCACAACACAAGTTTTTCAAAAAGCAATCAGAAGAATTTCGGAAATCCCAAAAAGATAGATATATAGCCCCTTAGCTTATAGAGAAGGTCACTTTCTTCAAAGGCTTTAATAGTGAAGCTATAAAGAGAGAGAGAAGAGAGAGAGAGAGCTGAGCCTAAGGGTTGTTAATTAACAAACTGTAAAAGCAACAAAACTTTCTTGAATGATCCTTTGAAAGACAGAATTACAACCCTCAAAATGAATTGACCAAAGACATACACAAAAAGGATGATTGATTAAACAACAAGAAAAAGGGGGAAATTAAAAGAAAAGAAAAAAAGACTTAAATGTTCTATCAAGATTCAAGAAGAATATCATATCAATCCAAGTATCTGAAACATTGAACTTCAATTTGTATTAGACCTATTTACAGATTAAGAATAGCAGGAACTCTATAGCACACTCATCATCATTTCCGAATCCATTTTCGATAAAATTAAACTTAAGAAAACTGTCCAAATGCAGCATGAAGTCTCTGAAAATTCTTACTATTATTATACATGGCCTGGTTTTGCAGCCAAGTAGTAGTCGCAGCAGTAGCAGTAGTAGTAGTCGGAGTGAATGGGGACCCGCCTTGTGGTGCGAATTGCGTATCGGGTTTCCCTTCGCCGAATAAGTCTTGATGATTGGGAGGAGCTTGATGATTTTGTTGTAGATAGAATGGTGCCTGGAGATATTCTGACCATTTGGTCTCATCAAGATCACTACTTTCTTTGGTGGCCCCCCAAGAGAATGATGCATTGTTTTCAAAGAAAGAGGAGTTGGTTTCCATGGGGAGAACAACATTTGACTTGGGATTGCCAGGATTCAAGAAGAGGCTGCTGTTACTAGGATGCTGCATAGGAAATGATGATCCTATGTTGTTGGCAGCAGCATTAGTGTAGTTCAAGAAAGAGAGGTAGCCTGACAAATCAGCTGTCTTGTTGAGGAAGAACTCATGGGTGGGTGGTGTGTTTGAGCTCATAGGATTGCTGCAGACCACATTGTCCATTGTCGGATAACTGTCCATAACTGCCAAGGAAGGTACCTGATTGTTGCTGTTGTTGTTGTTGTTACAGGTCTCGGCTTCAACAAAGTTGAGCTCACTTGACCCTTCTGACAACGTTAATTTTTCGTTATTGTTGTTGTTGTTGTTGTTGGTTAATGACGCTAATTTCTCTTCGTTCTCAACCTCGGACAGTGGCTTGTGTGTGTTCGGGTCGATCCCTTTCTGCCTCAGCTTCTTCTTGATTGACGAGTTCCAGAGGTTCTTGATTTCGTTGTCCGTTCTACCGGGCAGTCTAGCTGCAATTTGAGACCACCTAATGCCCCAGACACCAAAAAAATAATTAAAATAATAAACCAAAAAAATAATAATAATTGGCATTAATTCTCTATATATATATTCTTACTTGTTACCCAAAACTGCATGGAGTTCAATTATCAAATTCTCTTCCTCCTGTGAAAATGTGCCTCTTTTCAAATCAGGCCTCAAATAGTTTATCCACCTCAGCCTGCAACTCTTCCCACACCTTTGCAGACCTGTGATATGATATGATCAGAAAAAATAGTTATTAGGTCAGATCTCAGAGTTGCACTATGCTTACTTCCTCACTCATCCTTGAAGTCAAGCACGAAATTTTTTGGTTTTCTGGTTGCCAATTGGTGATAAGTAGGTGGACATTAACCATTTAACCACATCGTAAGTCATAGCTGAACTCGACCAACTAGACCGACGGGCTAAGATATTATTATTAATATTGTTATTTTTCTTTGCTAGTACACAAAAATGAAAATATTACCTGCTAGTTTTGGGACTGAGCTCCAGCAGCCATGGCCATATGAAGTAATATGCTTTATGAGCTTCTCATCTTCCTCAGGAGACCAAAGGCCTTTCCTCAGCTTCTGCTTGTAACAACAAGAATGCCTCCCCATGTTTGCTTAAATTGACTGCAAAATGTTTGCAGCTGACAGCAATCAAGAACAAAACAGAAATCTTGTCAGGAAACAAATAAAATTGTTTATGTTCTTGTAACGTTGTACAAGCTAAGTTGTGTTCTTGTCAACGCCGGGAAGAGAATGATTCTCTCTTCTAGGATGCAACAAAGAGAGATGATGTAATTAAGGAGGGGGGTGGGTGGATATATGGGTTGTGGAAAATGAAAGGCTAAACTGGAAGGAATCGAACTGATATAGAGTTGAGGATGGGAGCCCAATAGAGGAGGTCGTATTCAGCGGATAATTCCAATTTTATTTATTTATTTTTTATTTTAATATTTTGTAGAATAAAAATGGATAAAGAATTGTTGTATTTTTTGGAGGAGTTTTATAATTTTGGTTTATTATTTTTTAAAAAGGAAATGTGAAAATGGAGGTCTGATCTCAATTAAATAAAATCTGATTTGCAGGGTCTTATCAATGTTCTTGAGAAATTAATGAGTTTGACAGCACTTGTGGGGCATTTGGACAGATATTTATTTGGTGGAATAAAATAATTCAAAAATATTTATAATTATTTTTTATTCTAGGATCCGTTTAGAAACCTGGAAAGTGACTTTCAGAAGTCATTTTCTGAATTTTTCAGTGTTTGGTACTCGTAAAAAATAAAGTCAAAGAAAAATATTTATTCTAGTTAACGGAAAAAAGTTCAACTTGAGAGAAAGTGTCTTCCAAATTTTATAGTCCGAAGACATTTTTTGAATTTTTTTATTTTTTTATTTTCCATCTATCTTCCTTTTTATGTTTTTTTTTTTTAAAAATTATTATTACCATCACTACCACAATTCAACCACCAAACCACCACAACCAGGCCACCACCACTACGGACCACCACCAGAACCAACACCAACACCACCACAACCACCACCAAAATCACCACACCACAACCACCACCAAAATCACCACACCACAACACAACACAACACAACCACACCATCACCACCACCACAATACAACCACACCATCACCACCACCATGACACCACCACCAGTGACCGGCGAAAAAAAAAAAAAGAAGTGACCGGCGACCGACGAACGGTCGCCACTGGTCACTTTTTTGCCGAAAATTTCGCCGGTTACTTTTTTTTTTTGGCGGAAATTTCGCCGGAAGGTGGCCTGAACCCTAATGACCTGTGATAGCAGACCATTAACTTATTTTTGCGCTTCATTGCACCTAAATGAATTGTTGATGAGTGTAATTACACTTTTAAAAAGTTTAGGGGCCTAATTGACTTTTAAGTTAAAGTTCGAGGGCCTATTTGACCCTTTTCCCTTATTATTATTATTATTATTATTATTATTATTATTATTATTATTATTATTATTTTTATTATTTTATGTTCATTTTCAGAAAAATGAACCAAACAGGAAAATGCATGGAATTTCTTAACTTTCAGTCAAATAGAAAATTATAATTTGCTGACATTCAGCCAAATACTAGAAAATTAAAATATTTTTCAGAAAATGAGTTAGTTTCTTGAAATTATTTTCTGCAAAACATTTTCTAAATTCCAAATGGACCCGTAATAGAATTTACATTTCTAATATTTAACTAAGGGTCTGTTTGAAAATCGGAAAAATACTTTTCAAAAAATGATTTCCAGAACACAAGTTCATTTTCAAATGTTTGGATAAAGGTCAGAAAACTATCTTTTTCTATTTGGCTGAAAGTTAAAAAATAATATTTTTTTTCTTTTTGGTTGATTTTCTTGAAAACGAACATATTATTTGTTATAATAATAATAATAATAATAATAATAATAATAATAATAATAATAATAATAATAAGTGGTAGTGATGGTGGTGGTGGCGGTGACAGTGGCGATGACAATAGTGGTGGTGGCGGTGGCGGTGGCAGCGACAATATTATTGTTGTTGGTGGTGGTAGTGGTGTTGCTAGTATGGTGGTGATAGAGTTGTTGGTGGCAATGGTGGTGGTGGAGGTGGTGATAGTGATGGTAGTGTGTTGGTGGTGGTGGTGGTGGTGTGTCAATGGTGGTGGTAGTGTTAGTGGTGGTGCGGTGGTGGTGATGGTGGTGGTGGTAATAATAATAATAATCCAGAAATTAGTATGAAAAAAGATGAGAGTGAAGATAAATATGGAAAAATAAAGAATCTAGAAAAAGTCTTCTGACTAAAAATTTTGGAAGACATTTTCCGTCAACTTGGATATTTTTCATTGACTAGAATGAATATTTTCTTTTGACTTTACTTTACATGAATACCCAAACACGGGAAAATATGAAAAATGACTTCCGAAAGTCATATTCTGGGATTTCAAATGGACCCTAAGTTCATAACTATTTTAAGATGGCAACTTCGTTCTCTTGTGAGACTGTGTCACGAGTCTTAAACTGCCTTTTACAGTCTTGCTATACAGTATTATATTTATGCTATAAAGTATTATATATAAGCCTTAAAGTATTGATTAAATATACAATTCTATTATGTAATGAAACTTTATTTCGTTCAGATTGTTTATTATAGTTTTCCTATAAAGCACTACATTTATGCTATAAAGTATTTTATATAAGGCGTAAAGTATTGATAATATTTACGATTCTGTTATATTATTACTTTATTCCCTACAAACAATGTATTATATTTATTCTATAAAGTACTACATTTATGCTATAAATATATATAAGGCTTAAAGTATTAATTATATATGCAATTATGTTATTTACGACTTTATTTTTTGCAAACTGTTTATTACAGTTTTGTTATAAAGTACAACATCTATACTATAAAGTAAAATATTGATAATATCTACTATTGGTCCATGGGGGGGGGGGGGGGGGGGGGGGGGGGGGTTACAAGTCTGGAGGGAGGTGAATAGACTTGTATGCGTTTTTGAAAATTTTAACTATTCAATTAGTTTGATCCGAAGGGTTACTTCTTCACAATTAACCTTTCGTTGAGTATGCACAACGGAAAATTATTTTTACCCTTTTGATTATTTTGCACGTTATGTTTAGTATTTCGAAATGTAAATAAGTTTGAGTGTGGATATGAATGCAATAAAAATAAAAGATAGAGAGGGAGAATTTTTATAGTGATTCGGCCAACTCAGCCTACTCCACTCTTTTCCTTTAAACTCCAAAGGAGGTTTGCACTAATCCCTTTAGTACAAAGAAGAACACTCAAGCCTTGAACTCCATGCCGACTTTGAGTTTCTTAGGTTTTTCAATTCCACACGACTTTACTCCACCTCTTTCTACTTCTACCGAGTACATATACAAGCTAAGTTTTCAAAAAAAAAAAAAAAAAAAAAAAAAAACTTTGATTCTCCAACTAGTAAGCTTGGCTCTTGTTGATCAAACTTTATCTTCACTTGAACAACACAAGCCACTATTATGGATTTGGCGTTATAGCTTTAACTCTCTCACACTGGTCACTTGAATGAAACTTGAAAGCTTTTTGAACACTTGAAATATTTTCTCTTAATTGACCAACACATTCTTCAGTCTGATTGAAGATATTTATAGGAGTTTTGAAATGAACCCATTGGAATGAAACTCATTTCAAACGTCTCTTAACCATCGGGTAATGATCAACGAACAATTCGAAATGTTACTTTTTGTGTCAGATTTTCTAGCCGTTGAACTAATCCTTTTAGCTGAACTTTACTTTTTGTTTTGGTCCTTTTGTGTAGGCTTTTTAAGGAAAATCTTCCTTGGGATATGTACCTAGGACTCTCTTTGCCTTGGTCACATTTTCTCATAAAGCTTCGTATGTTTAAAGTTCCGAACTGTTTGCTCAGAGAAGGTCTTGAGCTGTCCTTTCGAACAGTTAACTCTACCATTCGAGTTAATGCATCGAGCCTTAACTCTTATAACCTTTCAGTTTCGATTAGATGTCCTTACTATTCGAACTTCTTCTTGCAATCCCCTACTATATGAGAGGTATGCCCTTCCACCATTCCATCTTTGCAACCTTCCGGTCTTGAACTCTTCTACTATTCGACTCTTCATCTCATCTCGAACTCTTCAAATCTTCAACTCTTCGAAGTTTTGTCTTTTGACTATCTGAACCGTAACTATTCGAGTTACCATTCAGACTATTCGAATCGAGTGATGGTGTGATACAGTTCCTAAGTCTAAGAAATAAAATAAATTGGGGACTAAAATTTTCTAACTTTTCATATCATTAAAATCTAAATTACAGTTGTTCCCAACATCTACAATTCTATATTGTGGTATTACCTTATCTCCTGCAAATTGTTTATTAAAGTTTTGCTATAAATGACTACATATATAATGCTTAAAATATTGATTATATCTGCAATTCTGTTATTACCCATGTTTATTAGTTTCGACTCGTCTCACGGATTGATACACGTGGGATAGTCTCATAAGAGACAAACCCCTTTAATATATAATTAAAACCAACAAAGAAATGTTTCTTCAATCCCATTTTATGTGTCTGATTCAGTTAATCAGGCTTGACTGAAGTTATTTTTAATTTAATTACTTATTTTTTTTCGTGGTATATAACATTATTTGCATTGTGCTTCATGTTATTTATTATAACTTTATTTAATTGAAATAATTAATCACAATTATTAGTCAATAAATACAAAAGTTATAACACTTGTCCAAATAAAATGCATGGTATCAAATTTAATGTAAATAAAAATTTTCATTTTGGTATTATATTTCTTTAAATATGACATTTTGTAAATCATAATTGATATTGTACTAGTTTTAAGTAAAAGATTCCTGAATGCAAAGATGGTCAAAATATTTGAGAATATTTTATATGGAGGTTCTAGGAAACAAGAAACCATATGATTGCTTTAAACCATCAAAATATAGTATGATTAAGCTCACAATTAATCATTTCAATCTAGTGGCGCTAAAGACTTTTGTGAATGATATTAATCTTGTGAACTTGTAATTAATTATTTTTTAAACTCTAAGAGAATAATTTAGAAAGATCATTGTATAATATATGAAATCTTTAACGTATGCTAAGTGCCTACCGAAATAGAAACCAAACAAATAAAATTTTAAAATAAAATAAAATAATTGGCTCTAGCACAATGGACAATTGATTTCTTTTTCCCTCAATTACATTCTGCCTAATTTGATTAAATAAACTTGATTAAAGTTATTTGCAATATTATTTAATTTAGTATTAATT